TTTTTTTTTGAATTCATACAGCGGCGATGTCAGGTGCCCCGCGCCCCACCCAGGGCGGGCAATCTGTCTTTGAGCAAATGTACTACCAGCAACAACAGCAACAACAGCTGCAGCAGCAGCAGCAGGTGATGCAGCAGCCACTGTATGATCAGCAACCTGTCAATGCGCAGCAACAACTACAGTACCCAACACCGCCTTCTCCGTATCCACAGCAATACGGTCAAAATTCAGCACAGCAGCTGTACGCGGCCCCATATACGCCAATGCCACCGCCCCCACCTCCACCGCCTTATGCTGCACCTCAGCAGGACAACGATTATTACAAGGGTTTCTATGATGGTGTGATAAAGCCCTCAGGTCCTGTTGTCGGGAGCGCTGTCAGCTGGCTTGCACCTCTCTTTGTCAATCTCGCCCTCTTCGTTGGCCCCCTCTGGTATATGCGGCGGAAGTACTTGCAGGCTCTGGGACAGACAAAGGCCAATGATGCGGCAAAGAAGAACCCGATGATGGGGGGACTAATGGATATGATGAACCCCATGAAGTCTAAGAATTACCGCGTGGAAGTCAAGGGCATCACCTTCTCCGAGGTTATTGGGATTCCCGAGGCAAAGGAGGACCTGAAGCAGTACGTTGACTTCCTTAAAGAGCCAAAGAAATTCACTCGCCTTGGTGCTAGACTTCCAAAGGGCTGTCTTCTGACCGGACAACCGGGAACAGGTAAGACGTTATTGGCCCGCGCTGTCGCTGGTGAGGCGAGCACACCTTTCTTGAGCTGCTCTGGTGCAGACTTTATCGAGATATTTGGTGGCAGTGGGCCGAAGCGCGTCCGTGAGCTCTTTGCACAGGCCAAAGAAGCCGCACCGTGCGTCGTCTTCATTGATGAAATCGATGCCATAGGGTCCCGCAACCAAGGTGGCCGAAGCATGGGTGGCGGCGGAAGCAGTGAGGAGAACCGCACTGTAAACCAGTTATTGGCTGAGCTCGATGGTCTAAGCAGCAAAGAGGCGATTGTGGTGATCGCCGCTACCAATTACCCTGAGGCTATCGACAAGGCTCTACTTCGCGAGGGGCGCTTTGACCGCAAGGTCAATATTCCCATGCCGGACAGGGAAGCGCGTCAAGAGCTTTTTGAGTTCTACCTAAACCGCATTATCACAGGTGATCCCTCGTGCAAGCCAAAGGTGCAGGTCTTTCGCACGCGGAAGGAGGGTGAGGGTGGCGAGGCTGATTCAACCTCGCCTAGAGACAAACAGACAGTGGAAAATGCATCTGCTGTAGAGAAAAAGCCTGTTATTGAGGAGAAGCCGATTGAGGTCAAGGTCGTCCCAGGTGTCAGCAACAAGGAGTACGCTGCGCAGTTGGCTGATCGTACCCCGGGTGTCTCGCCCGCGCAAATTTCGACAATTGTAAACGAAGCCGCTTTAACATCTGCTGTGGCGGAAGAAGAGGTTGTTCCGTTAAAGACGCTTCAGGACAGCATAGATGACGTTCTGATTGGTAAGAAACATCGACAGCGAATGAGCGACGCCTCGCTCCAGCGAACGGCTTATCACGAAGTCGGTCACGCCATCATGGCGTGGACGTCGCCTCTGCAGAAGGATGTTGTGAAGATCTCTATCATTCCGCGTGGGAGGGCTGGCGGCTACACACAGCAGGTGCAGGATGAGGCCCTGGAGCCCCGCACTGATGTATTCCTCTTTTCGCAACTCTGCGTGCTGATGGGGGGTCGTGTTGCGGAGCGTATATTCATGAAGGATATTTCAACAGGTGCCATGGATGATCTTCAGCGGGCCACTCGCATCGCATTGGAGAAACTTCTTTTGTACGGCATGTCCAAGTCTATAGGCCAACTAGCGTTCAAGCCGAACGATCGTAATGAGGGGCGTGCGTGGATGAACTTTTCAGAAGACCTACACGCGAAGGTGGAGGAAGAGGCCCGTCAGCTTGTTGCGGCGGCGTACAAGCACACAGAGAAGACCCTGCTGGAGAAGAAGGATCTCCACGAGAAGCTCACAATGCTGCTACTCGAGAAAAAAGAGCTGATGAAGGACGACATTGAACGCATACTTGGCCCCCGCCCTGTAGAAGCACCATCAAAGTAAAGAGGTGACTACCGACGTGTTATAACGTGATGATGCTGGATGGCAGCGTCCCTTTGCGTTTGCCCGGCCTCATTTGTATGTGTCCTGTGTACGTGTGTGTTGGTGTTTTTCTTTTTCTTGCCGCCGCTCGGTGTATTCACTGGCGTTTTTTAAAAACCCCGAAGAGGCAAGAAACAAAAAAAAAAGAGGAAATAAGTTGAAACAGAAGTGAGGAGAAACGCTTTCGCAAAGCCCTGAGACATGTGGAAGGGTTAGGTTCCCGGCTTAGGTTTTCTTCGCGTTTTAGTACTATTTTCTTTTCTTCTGTGTCGTGCCTTCGAGCATTTTCATCGTTTTGCCACGAAGTCGACGGTAACGGAAATAGGGATGAGGAGATATTGTGTGAGGGGGAGCAAGGGGCTAATGCTCCCACGTATAAATGGCGAGGAACTATGATATACGCATGCTTTTGACTTCTCTTATGCCTCTTTCTTTCGGTTATTCCCCGCCCTTTGCCCTTTCCTTTAGCGGCGGTTTGTTCTTTGGCACCGTGCAGGACTTCCCTCACGCTGCTGTTTCACGGCGTGGTGGCCATGACGGAGACAACCGACACGCCGAAGGACATATTTCCGCTCTTGCAGCAATTGCGAGACTCCTTTGATGAAATTGTGAGCACCCTTCAGAACGACGAACGGTGCGTGCGACAGGAATGGGACAAACTTCAAGAGGAGCGCGACCGCATGATGAAGGACATCATGCAGCTGCACTTGCAGCCGGGGAGCTCTACGAGCCCCATTAAGTCGGCACTTTACCGTGCGCCGATGCCGCCTGCAGCAGCGGAAGAAGGAGCTGGCGCCCACGAGCAGCTCCCTGGCGCGTCAAAATCAAATGGTCTGGTCAGAGGTGACACACATGATAAGAAGGGTTGTGCTACAAACGCCTCTGTGCCGATACGGAGGGAATCTGACATATGGAAAGGCCTCCGAAGTGAGATTGTAGACATTCGCTCTCCGTTGTGCGGCGGTGGCGACAATCCAAAGCGACGCCCAAGAACCGATAGCGGCCAGAAGACCATTTCTTCGGTATTACTCTCGTCTCAGACGCACCTCGAAGAGCGGCCGACTTCAGGGCATACGCGAAGCCCCAGCGCATGCGTGGATTACGGCGATGAGTCCTGCATAATGCATACAAACCCACCCTCAGGTGGTGGGCCGTTGCGTCATCGTGCGACGGGAATCACGTCTACATTGAACCAGGCCCGCCTACGAGCTGTTCCACCATCTGTTACGCCAGCAAGGGGCGGCGCCTACGCTGAAAGCGGTAGGCGAAACTCAACGCAATCTGCTTTACAGGGACGAACTTTTTGGATCAACGTGTGGCCTTGTTTCGGCACCTTTGCATCCTCTGTGTGTAAACCAAAACGTATTGTGGTGCATGGCAGCTACTGTTATATGGAGCAACTCACCGAGAAGGCCGGCATTGAAACGGGATGTCGCCCTGCCCCAAGCGTCTTGTACGAACCTGATGGTCGCCCAATACGTTCACTTGTGCAGCTCATGCCTGAGCAGCACTACCTGCTGTTCCCGAGCGGCGGGTTCTACCGCAAGGAGGCTGTCCCCGCCGCACTACTAATGGAGCTGGTGCGGGCCGCCAGGACGACACTCCAAAACCACTCTGTACATCACGAGCGCTGACGTGCAAGGCACATTGGTGCCTCTCTGTGGTGGCTTCTTCATCGTTTTGTGATGGTATGGGTAGTGCTAGGTTGAGGACGCTGCATGCATACCTACCCAACTGACTACATCATGTGATTGGTATTTTTTTCTCTGCCTCCTTTTTTTTTGTTCTTTTTTACTTGTGGGGCCCCAATTCTTCCCCTGTAGAACTAAGGTATGGTAGTGGGTGGTGGCAACAAAGATGGAGATCGGCGCCCTCCGCCCATGCTAAAGGCGGAACGCCAAGCTGCTTTTCGCCGGAAGGTCCGCAATGGGGTGCTGCTACACGGGCGTGAACGCAAAGATGCCGAGCGGCGCCGCATGGAAGAATACCGACGTCTCTGTGAAGCCGAAGGAGTGCACTCGAAGCGACTGGAGGAGTACGACATGGTGCGGAAGCAGGCGGCTGGTTTATTGAATGAAAAGCTGCAGAGCGTTGATTACGACCAGAGCCTCACAAACACTGAGAAGAAGAAGCGCAAGTTCAACCTCAAACGAAAGTACGCTGCGGCAACAGTGACTGAGCTTCTAGAAAAGAACGAGAAACGCCATAATGCGATGACAAAGGTTGAGCAGTTTCAGAAGAAGCGCCAAGAGCAGATTGAGGCGGCGAAGTTGGCGAAGAAGGAGCGTGAGGAGATGAAAGTCAAATGCATTCGCCAGAGACAGGAGACCAACGCTCTGTATGCCAAAAGGACCCGTAAAGGGCAGCCCGTCATGAGTGGCCGGGTCGAGTCGCTGCTTAACAAGCTTCAGCAGCAGCAGGAGCAGAAGAAGAAAGCCGAGCGTGAATTTTGAGACGGTTAAACGTTACAACTTCCCTGGTGGTTTTCTTTATATTCATTCTTTTCGTGTGCGCCATGCGAAGAGTCGAGTAAAACCCCAAAAAAAAAATCAACAGCGTCCTTATATTTAACTGTTGTCTTTTGTTGCTTTATGAACTCCTGCAGCCAAAGTCTTCTGGGTTGGTGCACGTGCGATTTTTCCTTTTTTTTTTGGTAGTTACAGTCACAGCTCAAGCACCACCAGAAACAGAAGTAGACGTATATGACCGACTTGTTCCTTCACTTCTCCGTACTCGGGTACTCTGTGGGGCTGATATTGGTGTGCGCTGGAGTTCTTTTTCCCTTAGCGGTGATGGGGCTTCGTTCGCGTTCGGTGTTTCGCAGAGGAACGCTTCGACCACCGGCTGCATTTCAGTGATGCATTTGTGGAGTCAAAGGATGCGCAGCTGCCTCTCTGAAAGCGCTGAAGGATCCAATTGTGCCGTTGGATTGGTGTATTTCGCTTCTGTGGCTGCATTGCTTAGTAAGACTGACTCTGTGTGCTTGTTTGTGTCAATGTTTGTTACAGATGCAAATCCTGTACGATGCTCTTGCGCGGTGTGGTTTTTGTCCTTCTCTTAGTTCTTTCTTGCACCGATAGTGCGCCTTCCTCACCGCGCACACACGGAACCAGGTGAAAAGTGGGGAGTTGGACGAATAGTGTGTAGCCGTTGTGTGTCAGAGCGCGTTGCGCATGCGTGCTTTGCGACAGTCTGCGCGTCGCGTGGTCTCTTCGCCGCGCGCTCCCACTTGGCTACTGCAGACACGTTTGCAAACAAGTGGTAATGGCAGTGACGCTGACGGCAAGGGCGAGGGCACACGCGTGTCTGCCCCCCTGGGCAAACCGCCCATTGTTCTGCACAGCGCTAGAAGCAAGGATGTCGTCGACCGCAAGGTGCACGACACACTTCAGGGTGATGGTGACAAGGCCACAACCGCGAGGCCTACGGACGGGCCGATGCAGCCGGACTATGGCCCTCTCCGCGCCACAGGGCTGTGGAAAGTAGAGGAGGTGGTGGATGCACAGCAGTCAAAGGTGGACTTCCGTCGCATTGACGATGTGGAGAGTGAAGTCATTGAGGCGCTGTCGCAGCCAGATGACGCGGTGGTGCCATACGAGGAAGAGGAGGCGTGGAAGCACAAGCTGATGTTTGTTCATAAATTTAAGAAGACACCGAAGCACCTGGCGTGGCGTGAACTCGGGCAAGAGATTGAGTGTCTAGATTGCATCATTGACCTGGATGAGCACCGACCGGAGGAGATCTTCACCATTTCTTTCTTCTTCACTGACAAGAAGTCCGGGTTGCGGGACCTTGTCTGGAGCGCGCGCAACGACGTGTCGTGCTCAGAGGGCCTCACGGATCTTCTTGCGGCGGTCGGGGCGTGCCTGGGCCGTGCCAATGTTCATCGGACCATACGCTTTGACGACGCGATGGGCACGACGCGAGACATCTCTATTCGAAAGGTTTCACGATACACGTCAGATGTCACTCTTGCATTCCGTCCTGCTGAGCGGTACAACAAGTACGAGCGCAAATCTGAGAAGGATGAATATGAACAGAGTATGGCAGAAGAGGGAATGAGCACCTGGGGATTTCATCCGGCGCTCATGGACTCCGAGTACAACACGTTGGATTATCAAGATCCACCTGGCACATACACTGCCGTGTTCTCTGCCCACGCCTTCAGCTTCATTTGCCTCCGCGCCATCAATCGGCTGTTGGCGAGGCCGATGAAGGACTTTTACCGCCCCTCGCAGCTTATGCGCACCGCAAAGGTTCGGAAGGAAGATGACGTGGGAATAGTACACGCCATGAAGGGGTGGATGGGAATTGAAGAACGTGTGTACCCCCACTACACTCCGATTGAGGCTATTCAAGAGCACTGGCTTGGTAAGGATGCACCTTTTAGTATGGTTGCCATCGTTAACAAGTTACGAGAGATGACGTACCTGAAGCGGCAGAACCCGGAGTTTCAGTCGTGGCTGTCTATTCGTCACCACGACACGCACATCGCTCTGCGGAATATTGGACTCAAGATGGTGGGTGTCGGAGCCAGTACGTTGTTTGTTCCGGTAACACATAACGCAACGGTGAACCGTCTTCTTCCCAAATCACAGCAGCGGCGACTGGAGAGCCGATTCTCCCTTAACGCGCTCCTTGACATGCCAGATGAGACGCGACGTCTTAACGAGTTTAAGAAACTGACTGGCCACGAGCGCATCACAGAGACACGGGAAGGTGACAGCAACACTATAGGGCCTGCTGATGGCAGAGAGAAGGAATAAACAGGCGTGGGAAGAAATGAAAAAAGGTTCAACCTCTCAATGCAGCTCTCTCTATATGTGGGGAGTGACTGCTGTGAAGGTGTGTCTTGCGCTCCCCCGTGTGCACTGCCACGAAGATTCACTTGTTTGAATTTCCCTTTTTTTGGTAGTGGTGGTGTAGTGGTAGTAGTTGTAGTATAGTGGTAGTGGCGGTGCTTTTGCGCACTTCTTTTTCGCTGTGTTATGGCAAATGGGCGACACGGAGGTAGACTTCTGGACGCCGACGATAGAGGCTTTTGCACCACTGCAGCTCGACGGCCCCGAGCTCACGCCGAAGCTCCTTAAACGGCCACCGTTTCGTTTCATTGCTGATATTGTGACGTCCATCAATACCCGCTTCGCCGCATACGACCATATTTTTCGTCCTGAGCAGCTGGACCCTGCCAACATTGATAACAAAGAAAAGAAGACTGAGTATCTTACAACGCTAGTAAAGTACGTTGGTTCCCTCCTTGGGATTAAGATCGACGTGAATGTGAAGAAGATTCTCTCGGGTAGTGAGCCAGAAAAGACCAACGTTTTCCTCCAGTACTTGGCAATGGCAGTGGGATACGCACAACAGGACAAGGCTAAGAGAACCCAGGAGCTGAAGCAGCAGGAGCAGCAGCAACAACAACAACAAGAACAACAACAGCAGGGAACAGCGACTACAGTACCGCCAATGACTTCGTCGACAACTATGGATGCCCCGCGCCAGAAGTCCATGCCGAGGCGGATCTCCAACCCATCAGAGAGGGCGGCAAAAAAAGTGGAAGTTCTGCGTGAGGCGAGCGAGTTTTACAATAAGATCAACAGCTACGGCCTCCTCAAACTGGACCAGCCTCAGTCGGTGAAGGAGGTTGGTCAGAGCATTGTAGATATGTTCAGGGGGCTTCAACAGGAGAAGATGGACATACAACCAACATCGTTGCCAGTGGATGCACTTGAAACGGCTATCAAAAGGCAGATAGAGTCTATTCAGCAGGTCTCTACCTTAGAAGAGGAAAACAATACGGTAATAGAAAAGCTTGAGGTGTTGCTTACCTCTTGAATAATATGTGAAATTGTGTGGAATACTTATTTTGCATTCCGAGAGCCACACGACAACAAAAAGCAAAATCAATTGGGAGACACGAAAAAAAGTGGTGTGCTGTTCTCCCTTGTGACGTAGTGCTGCGTTTTGTTTTCTCCGTTCCTTCCAGGAACCTTGTATGCCGGTGCAAGGATAGTATAAAGACTGGTGATAAAACGTTAAATTACCGCCTTGCGGGGGAGACCAAGAACAAAAAAAAACAAAACATAAAAGCAAAGAACAGCAAGGAGGAGGCACTCAGTCAAGAGACACGCCGATATGAAGCACGGAAACGCCTTGGGCGAGGCGCAACGGCAGTCCGCACCGTGTCGTTTATCCGCTGCGGTGAAGCGCCCGCGCGACTCACTGGAGAACTCCGAACCGATCCGCGAAGCGGTATGGGCGTTTGGGGAGCGGGCCATGCAGCTGGAGGCGGAGGTTTTCGCCGCCAACGGCCCTTCTGCCACAGCTCGGGTGAAGGTGTGGAAGCTTTTGCTGGATCTTCGACCGTTCATCTTCGCCGCGCTGCCGTCGATGGGATACGAAATCCCTGAGCCAATGCGTAAGTCGTGTCACGCGGACATGCGGCGTGTGAGGAAGTACGTGTGGATGACCCTCCGCGTGTACATGAGCGTTGCCCGCCTCGGGGGGGCTGTGCCCGACGCCCTGCTCCACTGCGTACTCTCCCTCTTGTCGCTTCTTCCTGCTGTGGGGGTCCTATCGCTTCCGTGTGCCGCCGACGAGAGGTTCTTCTTCGACGGCATTCAGTTCACCCTCACGGCGCTGCGCCTCCGCTATCCGTTCCTTTTTTCCAAGCTACTGAGCGGGCTCCTTCGGGAGGACACCATGGGTGCATTTATCTTCTCTTCCACGCAAAGGGGGCCCTCAACGAGCGTGCGTTGCACTATTGAAATCGCAGACCCACCGGAGGTTAGTGGAGTGGCGGCCGATGCAAAGCAGCTATTCACATCCACTATAATCGCAGAAACACCATATGAACGACTGTGTGTTGCGCGAGGACTTTGCAACGTCATGGGTGTAATTTTTTCATTTTGCGTTCCGGTGCAACCCACACTGCGTGAAAGAAGTGTTGTGCTTCGTTTGGCGTGCAGTTGGCTCGCTGTGGATGTACGGGAGGGTTCTGTGGCAAGATGGGAAAGGGGAAGCGCAAACACGCCGGCTGAGAGGAAATCCAGCGGGTCCAAGAGCAGCGAGGACGAGACCAACCCACTGGTTGTGATCCACACGACGGCTACATCCTTGCTACAGACAATGTTAGAGAAAGGGCTCCTTGTGAAGGTGCTGCATGGACCCATGCTGCTGTACACACTGACGCAGAACCTGTACGAGGCTTCGCAGATGAAGTTTAGTGGTCGAGAGACGCTCTGGGAGTTAAAGTTTCTCCGTTGGCTTGTTGAAAAAGATGATAGCTATAATGCTTTACCGCCGCAGGCCGTCAGTAATAGTTTGAGCAAGTCAAGGCCTCTAGAGACATCAGAGGCTTCTTTCTCATCGCGTGAATGGTTAACTGAGTTCTTTCTTCAGACAAGAATTTCGGTCGATGCGATTTTCGCGTTGATCGGAGGCACCAATAATCAGGAAGGGTTAGAAGTGTATGAGATGGCCGCGTTGCTGTTGTCCCTGCTCCGCGAGGCCGTATTACGCAAAAATGGAGTGGACAGACTTGTGGAGCTGGCGTTCTGTGATGTTGGTGCTGAATTGGTAGATGCTGTGCTAGGGGTGCGCGTCATGCTGCCCATGTTGTGGTTTTCAGACATGTCTACACGTGTATGTGTGTTGTACCAACTTTTTGATCTATTCCCAGAGGATATTGTCGCATCACTTTTGAGGAAACACCTCTCGCACCGTTGTGTGTATGAGGCAGCGTCGGGACACGTGCTAGCTGCCGCAAACGCATCTGTCCTCCTCAATGAGGGCGACGCAGCACAAGCTGCTCTTCTACACGACGCGTGGACGCGGTTGCTTAGTACGGGGGCTGACGAGGCACTGGATGCCGTTGTGATTCTCGCCCGCGTGGGTGAGGGCGCCGAGGTGGAGCGGGCGGTGGAGGAGTTGCTGCGAGTGTTGGCCGCACGCCGTGCGGTTGTGCGCTGCCCTGAACCACCGCTGCGGCTCTCACTTCTTTACGCGGAACTGCTGAGGAAGCTGCCGCTGCAAAAGAGTGCGCTGGCCGTCATTGTGGACGCAATCCGGGCTCAGATGACAGAGCAGGAGGTGGGCCTCTGGTGCCTACTCGGAATCGTCCGTGGCTTCAGGGAACGCGTTGCTCGGCGCTGTTATCACAGCACAGGCACTGCGTCAGCGCAGCGGGTGAGGCGGGAGGAAGCAGATACGGGGATGAACACCGTAGTGGAGTCTCTGGAGGAAATCCGTGTTGTTCTCGACGCGCTGAATTTGTTTCTACCCGTGCTTACAGCTGAAGATAGCAACGACGAGAGCATTGGTGTGGAGCTGCAGATTCTGTTTTGGGAGCAAATGGTGGCACTCATGACAGAGGTGTGTGCCCTACACGAGTGGATGCGTTCACATGTATCAAGGAGTGACTGCAAAGAGAAGAAAAAACGCGTGGATGCGAATGCCTCTGTTGGGAAAGAGGGCCATGGGCTTGACCTGAGCGATGACGTCATTGTTGTGACACCCAATGATCAACTACAGCAGCACGATGCAAATGTTGTTGGTGGTGATGAGAACGACATGGAGAGTGGGTCCAGCGACAGCGTGGACAAGTTGCTGCGTGGTATCGCAGCAGGAGTGGAGGGATTGGGCTGGGCGGCGCACACACTTTTCCTCGCGAGGCAAGTCGTGGTGGGTGGCGACACGCTGAGAGATATGTTTTTCGCTTTCATCTGTCTGTCTGTAGCAGTGTTCCCTGTGCGGTGGAGCGCAATGGAGGGACTTGTTTTGTTGCACGGCATGGGCCATCGCACAGCTTCGATTCGCGGTGGCTATGCTGCTTTGGTCGTATTTCTGCAGTTCACGCGATGGGGCGCTGCCGAGGCGGTGCAATTCTTCCGTGAGAGTGTTTCGCGTTTACAGGAGGCAGGGGAAGCGCAGCTTCTGCTTCTGCAGCTTGAAACTCTTCGGGCCGCCTTCAGTGATGAGTGGCAAGCTACTCTCCGACAGGGTGTTCGCCCCGGCGAGCACTCTGCTGGCGTCACATGTCTCCCGCTGAGTGTTGCCTCGTCGCCGCGGCACGGGCGGGACGACACAGCATGCTGTGAGATGCTCCACGTGTGTGCAGGGATTTGGGAGCACAAGAACGCCACTCCGGCATCGATGTCCGCCGCCTTAGATGCGGCCCGCGCAATCATGACACATCTGAAGTGGTGGGTGAATGACTTGTGCTGGAGGGATCCAGGTGTGATTCACACATCGTTTTTCAAGGCCATGTGCAACGCGGAACAGAAGGATGTGCAGCACGTTGTGATGAACCATCTCGATGATATTCTGCCCCCCTGTCTGCTTTCAGAGGACGGAGCGGAGAATCTTCAGGGGATTCGCGCGCTACTCGGTGGGGATTTCTCTCTGGAACGAAATATTTCTGGAGCTATTGCGCACATCTTACTCGAGGATGCGCGGGCACCCCCTTCGGTGAAACTGGAGAAGTTGAACAGTCTCTTTGGAGTCGTTGGAAAGCAGCTGCGGGAGCTTCCCAAGGTGATTGAGCACTCACCCAAGTCACTCATTGTGAGCCTGATGTACCTTGAGGGCGGAAGGCGGCTGCGCAAGGAAGGTATGGGACAGCACAGCGACAACAACACGGACTGCAGCTATCAGAACAGTAAAGGGGGTGCACTTTCTGAGTTTGATATCGCCGTGGAATTGGCGCTCTCTATTGGCGAGTGTGGTCCACTCGCATCTGACATTGCACAAGCGTTGGAGATGCCGACAGAGGGGGCGATGGAACAGAGAGCGCTGACGAAGTACGTCTTTGGCGTCTTAGACAAGGTAGCGCTCAGTCTTGGCGTCAGTGATGGCGTGAGTACGAGCTGCCTCGTCTCCACGTGCACGGCGCAGCGATGGCTCTACGGACTCAGAGCGCTGATCCACTACCTCGGCGGGCACGCCACACTTATTGCGCCGAAGTTACCCGCCATCTTGGAGGAGTGCAGTATGCAGCCGCAGCTCATTCGATCTGTGTGTGCCGTGTGGCGTGATCTTCTTCTTAACTGTACGGTGGACTACCTCAAGGAACACTCTCCCGCCATTGTGGTGGACCTCCTCAGCATGGAACAACAGGCCGAAGGGGATGATAGCGATGCTTTGTTGCTGCTTGAAGCAGCCGTGCGGGTAGTGTATGAAGGTTCCTCAGAGGAAGTCTTTTGGAAGTCCTACTTCAAAGTGATGAGTCACACAAGTATGCTGATTCGTCGTCTGCGGGACGACAGTGGCAAGTCGCTATCCTGTAAAGTGACACCAGACGTGGCGGCGTACTCACCACTCAAAGATTCCAGTGCAGCGGTTGTTGTGGCTGGTTTCCTCTCAGTAATGCAGTCTAGTTCCATTAAATGCAAGGAAATGTTTGTGTGTGCGCTATACGAGTACCTTTCGACAACGGACAGCACAGGACGGATGGAAATGACTCATGTTGCTGGAGCAAGCGCACAACTAATCCCCACACTTTTGAAATGTGCATGTGAGTTGCGGGAGGAGTATGCTCAGTACGTCTTAGCCTGTGTTGGGATGATAGGCGCCATTGCGTACTCGCACACCACAATACCAGGGGATGATGAGCAGTCCCTCCAACGGGGCAACGCAGCACCGTCATCAAAGGCCCGATTTGCCACCACGTTGCAGCCAGAGAAGTTTCTGCCAGAGGACGTGCTGAACTGGCGCACTCTGGCGCACAAGTTGCTCAGTGTACACTGCCCACGTGCACTCGCGAACACTGCAGACCCCACAATGCACGACCGTGCCGCCTTTGGTGTGCAACAGCTGCTTCGCGTGTGCGCTGATGCCGAACGGAAGTTGAACGGCCACCTGCCGCTTCTGGAACGAGAGGTATTATACGTGGAGGAGCTGCAGCGCTATGCGTGGTGGTCACACTTGGACCCGACGTGCCGGCAGATGCTGGAGGGCTATACCACGACGGAGTACACCGCACGCATCCTTCAGAAAGCAGAGCCGCACAGCCCTGTGTATACCACAGGGATGACATTCCACGTTTGGCTCAAGGCGTGGTTCTGTGATCTTGCCCTGCGATGCGACGGTGTGTTTGGACACATGATGGATGCGCTGCGCAACATGGCAAAGGCAGACCATGCCCTCATGTCTTTTCTGATACCCCACATCATCGTGCGCCTTGTTCGGGATGGGAACAACATTCACAAAGATGCTGTGATTGATGAATTGAACGTGCTACTCAGGACAGCTTCAACAGCCACTTTAAGTGGGAAGGAAAAGGGACTTTCACTTCACTCGCAGAATCTCATTATGGAGGTTGCTACATCTACCGCGGAGGCACATAGTGTGGAAGAGCATGTGCAGCAGGTTTTTCACTTTCTAGAAGATATTGAGCACTTGTGTTTAGTTTTGCTACGTGCGGTTCGTGGCGGGAATCCGAAATTCTCGGAGGACATCAACAAGAGCGATGTGGTAGCTGTTATTGAGGCGTGCCAACACTTCCTTTCCCGTATAGAGTGGACAACGAGGGTGGAGGCTGCTGTTGCTATTGGGAGTAATATGCGTGCCCTGCGGTACATTGAGGGTCAGCGGTATTTGCCAACAGTCAGTGTGGTCATCCAGGAGAATCTTCCGCTTCAGCATATATTTGCCGCGTTGGGCGATAGGGACTCGTCACGCAGCCTTCACCGGACACAGGAGCTCCAACCAGAGGATGCAGCTTTCTCGTATGAAAACAATGGAGAATGGAATTTGGCGCTGCAAGCGTGCGAGTTGGTGCTACAACAACGTCCCAACAGCGTCACCCATCAGCTTACTGCACTCCACTGCATGCAACAACTGGGGCAGCTACATCTCATGTCTCGCTACAGCCAGGCACTTCTGGTACAGTCCACGCGCTCCCCCAGCGATGGGGAAGGGTCTGATGAGTGGTGCTGGCAGGCACAACCAGCAGCATTGCAAAACTACGCTAATGAGGCAGCGTGGCGTCTCGCCGAATGGGAAACTATAGAGACACGTCAAGATCTCCCTGTGAGTCTTGCGCTACCGATGGTCTCCTTCACCAACTTTCTTGAGACAAAGGGCACACTGGAGGAAGTTCGCCTTGCGTGTGCGGCACAACGTCAGAAGATTGCACCCGTCATTCGTGCAGCTTGTCGAGAGAGCTACATTCAGGTTTACCCGCATGTGGTGGTACTGCACGCCCTAACGGACGTTGAAACCGCGGCGGAGTTCGTTGCCGCCTCACGGACGTCCTCTCTGGGGCAGGACGACGAAGTGACTTCATTCCACTTGAGCTCTAGTGTGGATGCCAGACGACTGCAGGAGTTTGAATCCCTATTGAGTCAACGTGCCGCTTTAACCGACACCACTCTAGAGACTCAGGAGCTCTTAATATCTGTCCATCGCTCCATTTATCGGTCCTTTGGCATGACTGAAGAGGTGACCAAGACGTGGATGCACCACGCAAAGTTACTGCGCAACGAAGGTTTTCTGGAGGCCGCACTAACTGCTGCAAAGCAGGCAAGATTGGGCGATGGATTTATCGACACGTCGTATTACACCACACTGGCGAAACTTTTGCATGAGATGCATATGCCGAATCAGGCCATTGAGCTCGCTGAAGATCTAGCCAACAACGGAGATATCCCCTCGGTGACTCGCGCAAAGCTGAGGGTGCTTGTCACGAGATGGAGGCAAGACATTAGCTACCAAACGTCGCAAGAGGCCATCACAGCGTATGAGTCTGCACTACAGATGCACGCCACTGAAAAAGCCCACCACTATCTTGCCTTGTTTTACGACACCTTGTACCACTCCGCGCTAGAGTCGAAGACAATGCCGGAGAAGGCCTCTCAAGAGGAGGAAAACAAGAAGGTGGTGAACACCGTCAAGTCATATGTACTACGGGCAATTGACCACTTTGGGAAGGCGTTGCTGTTGGGCGGAAAAACGGTGACCGTGTCTCTTCCGCGTATGCTTACGCTGTGGCTCAACTGTACTGTGCTTCTGTCGGCGATAGCAGCAGATTCATCGCGGAGCTCAGCCCACGCCGCCTCCGTGATGCAGGAGTTGAACAGCATGATGGAAAGGTATCTTCTTGACAGTAGTGTAAAGCTGCCGGCTACCCTCCTCGTTACGGCACTGCCGCAGCTGCTGTCACGCATTGGGCAGGACAACGCCAGTGTGGTTGGCATTATAACGCGGACGGTGGTTGACCTCATGATGACATTTCCTCAGCAATGTCTGTGGCAGGTGCTGCCGATTGCATTTAGCAAGCAGACCGGTCGCAGTGAGACGGCGCGTCAAGGCATTGTCGCACAATTTCTGAAACTTGTCCCGGCAATGAAGAAAATGGTGGAGAACATGTCGGCTCTTTTCAAGTCTCTTATTGATCTCTGCAACTGCCCTGCGACGTCCCTTACAAGTGGTCGTACGTCATCGGAGGGGTCGCTCGCTGGGCAGTCGTTCATTCAGAAAATCCAGCGGATGCTGCCGTCGGCAGGCATCATCCTACCGACGATGGCGAACTTGTCGCCGAATGTCATGTGTGTCGCAAACACCAATGCCGTATTCTCCGGTTCCGCGACGTTTCAGAGTTTTGAGGACCGTGTCGTTATTATGCATTCACTACAAAAGCCGAAGCGTATCACGGTAATCAGCAGTGAGGGTGCCCGGGTTCCTTTTTTGTGCAAGTCGAGGGATGAGCCCCGCAAAGACATGCGCATGATGGAGATCGCATCTCTGATGAACACCTTCTTCCTTATGGATCCCGAGGCGCGGCGGAAGCGATTTTCATTGCGTCGGTACGCTATTGCTGCGCTTACCGATGACTGCGCTGTTATTGAATGGGTGAACAACCTCAGTCCATTCCACAAGGTTGTGGATGAGTGCTACCTCTTGAACGGAACAGGTGTACGAATCTCTCAGGTCAAGGCGTGGAAGGCACAGGTGGATTCTGGTAACCTCAGTAAGATGGACATGTTCGAAAAACACATTCTTCCCCGAACCCGACCGGTGCTGCACAACTGGTTCCACAACAACTTCTTTAGCCATCAGGAATGGCACCAGGCGCGGACCATCTACACACAGGCAACTGCACTCTGGAGCATTGCGGGGCACATTGTTGGGCTTGGGGACCGACATGGCGAGAACCTGATGATTGACCTGCGCCACGGGGAGTTGATGCATGTTGACTTCGCTTGCATGTTTGACAAGGGTGAGATGCTCGAGGTGCCCGAGCGGGTGCGGTTTCGTCTGACGCAGAACGTTGTGGACGGAATGGGCGTGCTGGGCGTTGATGGACCGTTCCGCATCACCTGCCAGGTTGCGCTGCGCTGCCAAATGAAAAACAAGACTGCCGTTATGAGTGTTGTGGAAACACTACTTCACGATCCTCTTGTGGAGTGGAAGCGGCAATCGTCGACATCGAGGGACAGGTTTGACCCGAAACGACTAATTGAGCGCGTCTCACGACGACTAGATGGTTTTCTTGACCTGTATAGCCCCAACCACGAGAAGGACACGCTGGCGCTCGGGTGTGAGGGCCAAGCCTCGCGCTTGATTAGTCACTCCTCTGCTCTCGAAAATCTCTCTGAGATGTACATCTGGTGGATGGCGTGGTTGTAACAATTGGACCGGTCGCAACGATGACCCGAGACATGGGAGAGAAGGAGATGGAAAGAAGGGGAAGTGTAATATTAACAAAAACAAATGCGTGAACTTATTAACATCAGTGTGAGAGATATTAACAAGAGCGAAATACGGTGGTGCGTTATATTTGCAGTGAGATTGTATCTTGCGCCCATTTATTCTCGGGCAAGGATTTGAGAAATCATTTATTTATTTTTCTTGTGGTTTTTCTTTTCACTCTACGTCCAAATACGTACGTGCGAGATGGGAGCGCTGGGATGAAATGGCTGCTTCGGCTCGTCACTGGGCGGAACAGGAAGAGGACCCCCATCCCGCCTAAGCCGTACGTTGATACGGCGTCAGCCATGAAACACATGACAGACACGCGGCTGTACGACCCAGACGACTTGAAGCACATTGATCCTGAGAGGCCGCACTGGCAGGACCCGCGCTTCGAGTCGCGTGAGAGCGTCCCTTTTTTTGACTTTTGGGGATACAACAGGGACTGGAGCTGGACACTTTTCAGACTCTCTGCCTTCCTTTTCGTTGGCGTCTTCTACTGGGAGATGCGATCACTGGTGTACATGCAGAAAGACCCCCCAAAAGTTACAAGTAGCACTACGATATCGCCGGTTCCGGATTATGCGAGGGACGAAAAAGCCACAGAGGAGGAGCTGCGTGCCGCTGGGTTTGCCTATGTCGGTGTGAAGAAGTTAGACCACCTCGGGCTAAGAGGGAGTGATGTGGCGCAGCAGGACAAGAACGAGGTCTAGTGTGAATCTCTGCGTGTGGGGGTCTATGCTTCGGTGTGTGTGTGTGGGAGGGGGTGTTTGTTTGTTGGTTTGAGAGTTCTGTGTGCAGCTCCCACACTCCTCGCCCTGCCCAGATACAGACGCCATGCCATGTATAATGTTGTGTGGGACGGTTGTTTTTGTTGTACACCTACTCTGGCCTGCTCCAACTGTATCATTTAAAGAAGGAATAGAGAAGGGCGCGATGAATGACATATATGCCAGACGGCTCGCGCAAGGAATGATGTTCCACCAGCTGATGCGTTCACATGGGACGCTTTGGGCGGCGACGCAGGTGACGAAGGAGAAGCTAGACTACAACTTCATTCGGGAGGAGATTATGCGGTCCAATGGGCGACGTTCTATGCCGCTTCTCGTTGGCGCCGCCGCGGAGGAAAATCTCCATCAGCTGCACCTAACACACTTAACGGAGCACTGTGCGTGGGGTGAGAGCGCGAGAGCCTGCGCTGTTCACCGCCAAACGCCGCTCTCGCAGCATATCGCAGCGATGGGCCGGATGGCAGAGACAATTCATCAGGCCAAAACTGGCGCCACAGTGCAGAGTCTTGTCAATGAGCAGCTGGCCCACATTGATGGTATTAGCTCCTTTGAGGAGGAACCACTGCTTGAGGATGGAGATTGAGCTCAAATAGTCTGCCGGCCACCTCGTCGTCAAACTTCTGTCGTGGTGTTTGCAAGACGAACGCTGCTCTGTTGGCATCAATTTTTCTTCACTTTCACAATTTTTTTTTTGTTTGTTTGCGTTTTCACCACGCTGTGTGCGCTTTTGCTGATGTGTATTTTTTGTTTGTTTCCTTCTGTTACGTGGCGAAGGAAGAAAAAAAGGCGAGATGCCCGTCTTCCCGTGGAAAAAAAGCACAAAGGGCAAAAACGCCGCCGATGACGCCGCAGCAACTGCGCAGTCTGTAGAGGCGGAGTCAGAGACGAAGGCGGAGGTGGAGGTGGAGGCGGAGACCAACGCACCACAGACAAGCGCTTCCCGTCGGCCGTCCCTCAAGTCGGGCACGATAGAATCCGCCGCCACACAGCAGGCAGCGCAAGGCCCCGCTCCGAATGTCAGCGTTGCGGTGCCGCCACGTCACGGTTCGCCACCGGTGCGGCACGGACAACACGTGGCGGTGCCACACAACGCCACCATACCTCCTAACTTAGGCAGCAGGCCGCAAACACCAAGGAGTGGGCAGCTGTCTCCGTCAGGCCAGTCAGGCGCTCTGTCCCCACCGTCGACAGCGATGCCCCCGAAAATGCTGCCGATGAAGGGGCCGCCGCCGCCAGGAATGATGAAGATGATGAAAGGACCGCCACCGCCGGGAGCCAAGCTCGTCAAGGGGCCTCCGCCACCAGGAATGATAAGGATGATGAAAGGACCGCCGCCGCCGGGAGCCAAACTCATCAAGGGGCCTCCGCCACCAGGAATGATGAAGATGATGCACCCCAGTGCGTTACCACCTCGACAGTCACCGTCCCCACCTTTGCGGGTGTCCCCGCCACGGCCAACTCTGCCCAAGAAGTCACCGCCAGCTACTAGGACGCCGCCACTGTCGTCATCACCTCCGCTTCCTCCTGTTTCCCCGAAGCAGGTAATTCCAATAAGCAAACAGGAAGTCGAAAAAGCTTCGACCCCACAACATGTAGACGCAAGTGCCAGGCGGTCCGAATCGCCACATGAGGGACCGACGGTGAGGACAAAATCGGAGTCGCCGTTGAAGACGCGGCTGGACGCCCCGCGTAATGATGCCGACAGTGATAGCGAACTTCAGTTTGTCGTAGAGAGCGCGTCCGCTGGTGCTGCGACTCCAGTTCGAATGGAAAACGATGGAAAGAGGCCTAGTCGTTCTCCTTCCAAAGCTTCTTCACTTCAGTTTCACGCGGATGAATCAGCGGGATCGGAATTGTCGTTTGTTCTCCAAGTTGACGAAGCCACAGCTCCACAAAAGAGCCAAACGTCACGGCGGAACTCTGGAGCGCCGTCGAGAGTGGGGGACTGCTCTTTGAACAACGGCGCAGATAGAATGAATGGCACATCCAAGGCTGGAGTGAATGTGGTAGAGCAGACGGGTTCAGGGCATGTTCAGGCCCCTCGCGTGGCATCTAGCACGACCTCCTCGGCAGAAAGAAGACGGGAAACCCCCAAAGGGCAACGCTTGAAAAAAGAGCTCATCGACTCCGAGGAAAGCACGTCCATCTCTCCTCTTGCTCTTGAAAATACCGAGAAACGACCTGGAGCTGATGTTGCTGTCAATTCGCCGAAGGATACGGGAGGTGAGGGGGATGAGGAGTGCATGATGGCACCCGTGTCGGAATCAAAGCTTACCCCAAGTGTGCGAAACCGTATTGCAGAGCAATTTCTCTCACTTCTTTGCCCTCAGCAATTTTACGGGAAAGTTGTTAAACTGCATCGTATTCGGCTCGTCAAGGCAGGTCATGAACCTGCACCTGGCATTAAGGAGCATAATACCATTTATGTCGCAACAAAGGGGGTTTTGCCCAATCAGTTCTTTTACCCACAGATGCGGCTTTATGAGGCTGACGGAGTGCCGGTTAGTAGTCATGATACTCCTGGACATTTGGACACACCTATCGTCCTCTACGAAGCGGCACCGGGTAATATGCTGTTCGCCGGTACAGAACTTGAGGCAAAGCATATTCTTGATGGCAATGCGTCAGCAACGAGTTGCTTTGTATTGGAAAAATCTGCGATCGTCTTTAGAGATCCGATGAAGTATGTGCTTCCAATAGCTATGCTGACTGTGCGGTGGATTCCGTATGCTGTGGTGCAGTCAGAGCCACAGTGTCCTGTGCATCACAAAGAACTTCAACTGTTTGATCGCTACACAAAGGAGCTTCTTTGCGCTTTGTGCGTCTCCAAGAGTGGCGCCCATGTCTCCCACCTGGTTGTCATCCCAGATGTCCTGAGCGGAGACTCCCGCCGTCGAATTATGGAGGCGCTGTCGGAAAAACTGCAGCAGGGACGGCAAAACGCCGCACACTGGGTTAATCAACATCAGCGAATTGTGTCTGTTGTGAAACACAAAAAAGATGCTGTGAACCAGCAGTTCGACTTGTTGTTGGCGGCTGTCAACTCCAAAAGAGAAGAGTTTCTTGAGCACTGCGATGCGGCATTCGGATTCGCGTTAGGAGGGGTCGCCAAGGAGATCCTTATGGCAGATGAGAAGGTGCGCTTACTGAAATCTGCGATTGATCACCTACTTACGGAAAGTACAAAACCACTTTACTCGATGCAAATTGCAACTGTAGCGAATGCGTTACATGCATCTGAGGAGTTCCCGCGGCCCTTTTCAATGGATTCGCTTAAGATCCCGGCTCTTTCCCGTGAGTTGACGCCTAATTTAGAAGGTGTGATGACAGAATTACAGCTTGTCTCACCGATGACGCCAAATCCGAATGCTCAACGTCCCCACTCTCCATTCGGTCTCCTGTCCCGCGAAGAACAGCAACAGTGGCGGCAAGAAGAAGAGGAGCGAAGCCATTTGTCGCGAAAAAGAACGCCACTGAAGCATTCTTCTCCTATAAGGAGGGTGAGATTGGGCCATGGTTCACGAGAGAGCTCTGGTCGTGTGGGTGGCACTCCCCCTCGCCCTGCGGGTCCAAGTAGATCACCGCGCCGGCGTTCGATGCCACTTGTACCCCGATATGAGGAGCTGAGGGGCATACCAGATGAAGGTGAGGTGCTACCCCGATCACAGCAACATAGCCAATGGGTGGCCGTACCGGGGTGCCGCGGAACATGCATATTTGATGTTCCTATCCATGAATTGCTAGCCAATGATGATGACATGAAGAACCATCGAGCAAGACCCAAGTTTCTGCAATGGGTGCTGCGGGTGGAAGATCCAGGGGATTGGGTGGGTGTTGGTGTCGGTGTGGGAGGCAGCCTTGAGGCTTGGGCTGTGAGCCGCACGCCTGATCTCAGTCACCTCTGGGTGGTGACTTGTGGTGACAGCAGACACACCTTCACCCTCCGTGTGACAGTGAACCCTAGTGTGGGTCACGCAAAGCTGTCAATTCACGACGGAAAGGGAAAGCAGCTTGATGACGGACGCATACCGCAGTGGAATGCAACACGAAGCTGCTACCCACAGGTTACATTTGGTGGTCGAATTGGTGAAGTTCATCTCATTGATGGTCCTCATATGATGTCGAAGTGAGGGTTTCCTGTTCGATCAATCACGAAATAGGTTGCCGTGCGAGGGTCGGACCACCTGATAAATAGATAGTGAAGGTGGTTCGGCTGAATGATAAACAGGAGTGCGCTGAAGAAGAGTGCCATCTTGAATTGTTTTTCTCCTGCGCTAGTGTCACTGGATTGGGAAGTGAATGCAAACAGGGAAGGGCGAAACGCCATGTCTGCAGTTGTGTTTGTACAGAAGAATTAAAAATCCTTTTTTTTTGTTCTGTATTTTGTCACTCCCTAATGGTTTTTTTTTTTCAGCATAGTACAAGGAATAGTGGAACAGATGTGGCGATGCCCTTTGGTCTGGATGATCTTCTTCTTATCGTTGCATCCGCCTCACCTCTGCTATGGGCGAAGCGTGGGGACGTGGTAAGGTCTGGCGTCTACAAGATGGTGTCGCTGGCAACGAAGGACGCAAAGAAGGCGGCGCAGCGGGCGGAGGTGGCCACGCAGCATTACGTTGCACCGTATGCGTTGCTTCCTGGCATTGACATTGGGGAGACGTCCGGGGAGGTTACTGCTACTTCTACTGCCGCTAATGCTGCTGATTTAGGAGGTGGTGAACTTGTGGCCACCAGCATCGCGAGGAAGTATGTTGGGGAAGCGGTGCGTGACTCCCCATGCGTTCCGCACCGCCACTTTCGCCGAGCAAAACCGGGGCGCACGCCTGTCACGGCTCTTCTTAGCTATGCTCCTGAAGACGTAGTGGCGTCACTTGGTCGATACAGTGTAGTGGAGGTGAGCCACCTTTACGAGGTGATGGAGCAGGAAGGTTCCTGGGAGGCAGCGCTGAATGTGACCGAAGGTGCAAAGACTGGCGGACACCACGCGTACCTTATAAAGAAGAATATGGAGATGGCAGTGCGGACGCTTCTGCTCGCCGGTGAAGTGCAGCGGGCGGTGGATTTTGTCCTGGTGTATGCAAGTGAGATGATACTCTCTGATGAATTGCTGGTGGCACTCTTCGACGCCTGCCGGAATTCGGAGAAGAACAGCCTGGCGCTGTATCAAAGCCTCAAGCCATTTCATTCAGAGTGGACACCCGCCGTGTATGCGTGTTGTCTGACCGTGAATGCCCGGTTCAACTGGCAAGAAGCACTAAATCTATACAATGAGTACATGGAGCAGGAACAGGAGCAGCGGCAGCCTTTGGCACGCTTCTTGACAGACGTTGTGTGTGGTACGGGTATCATGGGTAACTCAAAGGGTGTAGAGGATGGTACTCTGTCATCACAAAGACAGAGTTTGAAGTTTGTTTATCACATCATCATGCCACTTGTTGCCGATCGACGGACAGAGCTTCTGCAGAAGTGCTACAGACAGATGGTGACCCATGAGCCAGAGTCTGCTGTTGTTGTTTTGTTGAGGTGCCTTCACACAGCGGCTGGGAGGGAATTGGCTGTGCAATGGTTACAGGAATCTTCAGAAGCAGCATGTGATATCCCTCCGCCAGACACGAGGGATGTTGTGAAGTTGGCTTTGAAGCTTTATCGCAGAAATCCCAATGTGATGAACCTTAACTCTCTTCTTAAGGTGATCATGGCTCAAAATCCAACGACTCTACATGAACATGTGGGTGTGGAATTGCAGCAGCACCTCGCTGTAGTTGACATGACGGACAATGATGCGTCTGTCCTGGCTCGCACAATCACTGACAAATGTGGGCATTGGAAGTTGGCATCCCAATTCATGTCGTCGATGGTGACACGCAAACAGTTCAACGTGCTCTCACCCTTATCGTACCACGTAGCACGCCAAGGGCGGTGGTCGCTGGCGTCACAAGCGATGGCGGTGTGTTTGTCGAATCGTGGTGCCTTTACGCCGGCCGAGTTGTGCCTCTGCGTTGAGTCATCTGTGTTCGCGGGGCGATGGAAAAGTGCAATGTTTTGGATGGAGCGGGCCCACAGCCACGGCGTGCGGCTGCCGGCCGCCGCGTATGACAATGTTTTGGGCGTGACAAGGCACTGTTCGTGGGCTTCCGCGCTGCGTGCCGTGACATCGATGCACGAAGCAGGTGGACTCTCATCGGAAAAAGGAATTCTCCACGTACTGGAGTCGACCGCGGCGCAGGGACAGGTCCGCAAGGCACTGACCGTCATCGCGGCCACGGGCAACGTCTACTGGACACTGTAGCCGCAACTAGAAGAACGGCACGGTTCATATACTCACATGCGCTCTGCAGTTCTTTGTTTTTGCTTTTTTGCCGTTGTCTGTTTCTTCTACCCATAGTGACACCTACATTTTATTGTGTGCGTGTGTACCTGTTTAGTGAGGTCATTTCATACTCCCTTCTCTTTTTTTTTTNGGGGGGGGGGTTCTGTAATGTGTTTTCTTCCTCTAGTTGCTCCAGAAGATGGAGTGCGAGGCAAGACGCAAAGTCAGGGAGTGGCGTCGTGTGGCCAAGGACGCGGCAGCTGTAAAGCTCCACGACGCCGTTGATCTCACACTGCACCCGGCGGTTGAGCGGGCGACGATGCCCGGCCTTACGCCGTTCCGCAGGCTCCGCACTAGCGACATCCTCACAGAGCTCGTGCAGCTCCCATCAGTAGCAATGACATCGCATGTGAGTTTCATCTTTGGCGCTGTGTGGGTGCTGAGTCAGTTAGCTCGCGGCGCTCAAACTCCGACAAAGGGCGTCGCGCCTCTGCGACTCCTCATTGGGGTGCTGCTTGTGCTTTTACATATTCGATTCATAAGATGGCGACAGCCGGTTGTAAGCACTGTGTCGAATGCACTAGATGTGTCAGGTTCAGCTAGGGGGCCGTGCCGTGTTGTCGATAAGGTGCTCACTATCACTAACTCCCACGCAGGGACGCACGCCGATATGCCACATCACTTCTCTTGTGACTCCAACGCCGTGGCTTTCGAGGACGAACACTACTCGGGTGATGCATTAATTCTGGACATTAGTGGTCTTCTGAAGGACGCGAGCAATGACGTCGATGACGACAAACCGCGACCCATTACTCGCCACATCATGGAGGACGCCATTGCGCAGTGTGGCCTTTTGCTACAGCCTGTGTGGCGGCTTCTGCTAGTGACGCGCCACGTCTGTAACTATGGCGATGCCGCGTGGAAAAATGGGTTCGCATACCTTGAGCCAGAGACAGTGCGGTATCTTGCCGAATCCTTTCCGTTGCTGCTGTTGGTTGGCACTGACGCGCCATCCGTCGATCACCCCGATGCAGCCCCTATATGTGAGGCGGCACACGGCGCTCTGTATGATCGAGGAATAGCTCTTCTCGAGAGCCTACAGTTTGATGCGGTGCATTCTCTCTTCAAGGATTCAAGAGTTCTTCGCGGTTCCATAATGACTGTCTTCAGTACAACACAGTCATTTAAGGATAGTCGGGGATGTCATGTAATATTTTTTCCCATGCTGAATTCAAAGTGCGAGGCAGCAGTTGAGTGATATGATTCTGTACAGTGAGCACCATTCGAAATTGGCAGTCAGTCGGTTTTTTTGTGGTTTTCATTGGTTGTTTTTTTCAAGTCGGTGGATTGATAACTTGACTTGATTTGGTTTTCTTGGCTTTGCTTGTGAGCGAGTAATGCGGCTGTTCCCTCTTGTCTTTTTCGCCCTTCGCGTCGCTCTTTTCCTCCCTACTCTGCCTTGCAAGAGAGAGAGAGAGAAAAGGGGGCTGCGCTTTGGCTCTCGCATTTTCCCCCCACCCCAGGGGCCCATACACACCTCTTGCTGCATGGCCACTCTGCGCGAATGTTTGGGGCCTCTCGTCTCATACTTTCCCCACACCGCCTTCACAACGGTGCAGGAGCGCGTCATGCCAACATTGCTGCAGTGCGACGCCAACGTTGTTGTGGCGGCGCCAACTGGAAGCGGCAAGACGGCCCTACTGGAGGCGGCGATGCTGCGCCTCTTCAGAGACCGTCTTCTCCCGCTGTCGACAGACACAGGAAGCACAGGCTGCCGCAGCGCCAACGCAGTGGAAGGGAGAAAAACGGTGTACATTTGCCCCATCAAGGCACTTGCCAGCGAAAAGTACGCACTGTGGCGGGAGAAGTTTCCTGCCCTCTCAGTGGCGCTCGAGACAGGTGACCAGGAACTGGCGCGATCGCACGCTAGTGGAGTCCCTGATGTCCCAAACGCGGACATTATCATCACAACACCCGAGCGGTGGGACAGCATCACACGACGGTGGAAAGAAGGTGTCGTTTGGAGTTTGGTGGCGTCGGTGGCGCTTCTGCTGCTGGACGAGGTTCACACTGTGAGTGAGGAACGTGGCGCTGCACTGGAGGCCGTAGTGAGCCGCATGAAAGCAATAAAGGCTTCAATGAGCAGCCGTGGCCCGCGCTCCTATACGACCCGCTTTGTCGCGATCAGCGGGACACTCCCGAACATTGAAGACTTCGCCGAGTGGCT